CCAAAAAACTTACCTCCACGATCAAACCTTACTATTTTAATTTGTTTATCCAATAGTTTTTCAACCTCAAGTTTAAAGATTTTAAAACAGTTTAGAGTTTGAGATTTGTCCGAGATAAAAAACAAATAGGTATATCTTGAAAAATCATCAATGAAAAGAAGAAAGTAGAGTTCCCACATATTGTTTTTGTTGGGAATGGACCACACACATCTGTGTGAATGATCTCTAAAAGATCATTACTTCTTTTGGCCTTACTTTTGTTGGTTAAATTAGTGGTTTTGCCCTTGAAGCAATCTATGCAATTCTCAATATCAGATATGTCAACATTTGGCAATGCACTGTCTTTTATTAGTCTCAACATCCTAGCTTTGGAGATATGCCCTAACCTTCGATGCCAAAGCATTGAGGATGAGTCATTTGTGAGCATTCTCTATAGAGTTGTGTTAACAACATTGAGACAATCATAATTATAAGTGCATTCAATTTGCCAAAGATCACCATTTGGAAAAGCATAGCCAATAACACTGTCAAACTGGTCTTTAACATAAAATCTTATTTGAGTAGCATCTCCTATATAAGAGAAGCCATGTTTAACAAACTGAGTTACTGAAAACAAATTCATTCTAATTGAAGGTACATACAATACATTATGTAAAGTTAAAACATATCCAGTTGACAATACCCACAGCTTCAACCACGACTTTATTCTCATTTCTAACATAAACATTATAGGACTCTTTAATTGTCTCCTTCTGGCTTTGAAATCCTTGCAAAGAGTTGGTTATATGGATGGAGCATCCAGTGTCAAACCACCAAGGGTTTTGTAGTATAAAAATCATATTTGATTCAACTGTCACAAAAACATCAAAAACTGTTTTACCTTTCTGAAGTAACCACACTTTAAAAACAGGACAGTTCTTTCTCAAGTGTTCAGTTGATTGACAATGAAAACACTTTTTAAAATGAGGTTTGTGAACCTGTAAACCTTGAGATGAGGAGGCTCCATTATTTTTGGCAGATACACCAGAACTCTTGAACTGCTTCTTGGAACCAAATGTGGATGGTGCTATGCTCCGAAGGTTAAATGGCTTGGTCCCCTTATAATTATCATTTTTGGCAAGCATGATCTGCTTTCCCTTTCCTTTTGCAGTGTTGGCAAGGTTGACCAATTCCATTTTCTCGGTTTTGGATCTTTTCAGTCTGTCTTCCTCTTGCCAACAGATAGCAATCAACTCATTAACACTCCAAGTTTCTTTTTGAGTGATATAGTTCACCTTGATTTGATCATATTCACCAGGCAAAGAGTACAAGGTCATGTGCACTAGAAATTGGTCAGTGATACCAATCTCCATGGCATTCAGTTTGTTAGAAAGATTCACCATTTTCAACAAATGTTCACGCACACTTCCTGAACCATCGAACTTGCTATTGATAAGTGCAGAAAGATGTGCCCCCACTTCAGCCTTATCTGACCTCTTGTACTTCTCTTCGATCATTGCCATATAATCCTTGGCTAAATCACAACTTGTAATGCCACCTCGGATATGCTCTTCCATTACATTCTGCATAATGAGAAGAGACATCTGATTTGCCCTCTCCCATCTTGCAAAATGATCTCTCTCTTGAGGAGTGCTGCTATCAACCAAGGCAGATGGTTGAGGGGACTTAAAAGCTATGTTAAACTCAAGCATTCCCAGATTCATTTCAATCTGTTGCTTCCAAGTTTTGAAGTTGGTGCCATTCAATTTCTCGATGTTAACAAGATTTAGCATATTGAAATCTGCATGTATATACATTTGGTTTGAAAATCATAAGTTTTGTAAGCAAGAACATTTCTTAATTGTCTTGTTACACTAAAACATATGAAACCAGCCACACCTTCGGGCAAGAAACTGTTCATATAAGATTATAATTTTCAAAGTTTGCATAGCTAAATATAAATATCATGGTCTGTATGTATGACTACACCTTTAGGCAAGAAGAAATACACCATTACATGACATTCATCATTCACTATACATCAATCCATAATGATCCTAGTATATATAAATTTCTTTAGAAATTTGTTCAACTTGATAGTATTATGAACCGCTATTTTAAGTATTCTTAATTGTAATCATAAGAACTTAAGATTGGATCTAACACTTTGGTGGAAGATGCAATGTAATCAAATGACAACAGTACTTAAAATCATTAGTATCAACACCAGAATGATATCATACAGCCTTGAAAATATATAAGGCATCATGCTTCATGATTCTCAATGGGAATCAAATTATGAATCATCATACTATACTACAGATAGATACAAATATTGAAAGAATAAAAGCAATGCAAAAATAATGTAGTTTGCAACATAAAGCTGCAGTAATCGATATAATTGTCATGCGCATGAAATATTTAATACAGTTATAGCAGCGGAAGATTGTAGTCATAATACATGTATAATCATGCAAGAGTTTGAATGGTGGGGCTCTGATACCACATGTTAGTCCTTCTAGAGATCATAACCATCAAACTCTAATTTGTGTATAGAGAATCTATCGCTTGAGCAACATAATACAGTAATACCACCTTCGCTTGAGCAACAAAATGTAGTAATACCACCGCTTGAGCGGTAGAACACACCACTTAAGCGGCAGAACATAGTAATACCACCGCTTGAGCGATAGAACACACCGCTTGAGCGGCAGAACATTACATTAAAGGTTGATAACACTAACCTACATTTGACGCTATGAAGATCACTGCAGCAATACAACCTTCTTCTCTCTTGTGTGATCGAAAATATCCAAACTCTCAATGGGACGAGTTTATGTCTAAATCTGAAATGGTAAACATGTTTTTCACACCGAGAGAATGGACCATATCACTATATATATATATATATATATATATATATATATATATATATATACTTGTAGTAGTTCCTTCCTCCCATCAAGAAAGGAGTTACCACCAGTTACATCTTAATGTAACTGTCCAATTCAAATTAATTTGAATCTCCTTAAGTTTCCCTCCAAGTCTTAATTCCGGAAACTACATTATTACATTAGTTAGGCTAAGTTCAATATATATAACTCACTTAACTTATAATATTACACTTGTCAAATGTTTGATGAAACCCACATTAAGTTTCTTACACCCGGTTCTCACATTTGTTATGCTCTCCTTCTCTTTTAGGCCATAAAGTTGTGCTGTACTGAAATAAATTCTTTCCAATTCTTTAAATTATCGAATTCATGGCCCTTAATTCCTTCAATTAAAGGATTTAATCAATATATTAAACCCATGTAGAAGGTATTACTGTTTGGGTTAAAACTTGAACTTTGGGCTTGAAAGGGAGTTAGCCCAAAATGAGGTCCAGAATAAAGGAAGCCCGAGGCTCAGCCAAAACCCAGAAGGGGGAAGAGGCCTTTTTCCCGACTAAGTGCAGATCACTCAAGCCACCTGCTCACCTATCTAGGGGTCAAGTGGTGTAGACTAGCTAGCTAATCAGCCTAAAAGTACTTTACAATGGCAGGACAAGTAAAAAGCTGATGAGTCACTACCTTTCAGAGGCATTCGGGTAAGATCAATACTGCAGGCAGCCAAGCTAAATCATCTATAAAAGGAGAAAGAAAAATCAGAGATAAGGACAATCAATCAAACAAACAAATACACAAACTCTGCTCAAGCTAGATTTGCATACGAAGTTGTAGTCAGCACAAAGCCTTCATCCTTTTCGGGATCAACCTTCACCAGAAAAGCCTTTGTAAAAGCTCTGCTACCTTGTTTAAATCTTGTTGTAGTATCGATTCTCTCCTATAAACTTATCTCTCAATCTCCCCTTCTAGCCTTCAAACCGTTTGTAAATCACAAAGAGAGGAAGTTGCAAGACAATCAGCCTTGCCCGACCTCCTTTGTTTTAGTCTTTTCATTCATAAATCTAGTAATATAACGTATATTTCCATCTGCATCCAAGTTATTTCTAGCCAGTTTATGATTAAAAGACTTCTAAGTTCTAACCATTCGGGCAGACAAGATTGATCAATTAAAAGTCCTTGGTCTCAAGGCATAAAAAAGAACTTTATGTACTTAACCCATCCACGACAGTCCTTGATAACAAGAAATCTGAAGTTACTTGGGGGCGCAAGTAATTAGCCTATTTTCTTAGTTTTACTTCTGTTATATCATGATTACCACAGAACGCTTGAGTATAGAATTAATTCTGATGGGAAGCCTCAAGGCCTATACCTAAGGCCCGACAAAGGCACCTTTCTGAATTCGTTCTGCTCTGCGGGCTAGGGCGATTAAAGTATAACGGTTGTGATACTTCCGCAACAATAAAACAACCAATATATGTTCGAGTACTTGGTTAGTTCTGGTTAGAAGCCTCAAGGCCTACACCTAAGGCCCCACAAAGGCACCTATCAGAATTAAATTGGTCTCTCGGACATATATAATCAAACAACTGAACATCAGTTTTACATCTGTCATGCTAAAGATGGCAGTAGCACGCTTGAATATTTAAAGTTAATTTTGATTGTGAGTCTCAAGGCCTACACCTAAGGCCCTACAAATGCACCTTTTAGAATTAACTCTATCCTTCTCTTACAGCTCGCCAATAAGTAGAAGCCCGACAGACGATATCAACCGGCGCCAACCTCTCGGGGAGCTGTGTGCTCGTTGGCCAGGAAACGTCCCCACTGGATATTCCCCCAAACGAACAATTACATTGCTAGGATTTTCCCAATTTGAATCAACTACGTAACCAGTTTTCAGCCTTAGTTTTGTCAACATTAAAACCAATTCCATAGATTTTAAATTTATATGAGGATAACAAAGATCTAAAAGATTACGAAGAGCTCCAGTGGCCTTCAGTACTAAGAACTCTCATCTGTCAGACAGATGCCATTTCCTTCAACCTTGAAATGCTGCTTTATTACCGAAGACATAATATATGTGGATCAATTGCATAGCATTGTTCTAGCTTTATCTGCAGTCTCCTCCGTGTGACAATGTGTGATTACATGCAAACAGTTATGCACTTGGGTGAAGCTGCAACAGTAAATGACGGTGAGTTAATAGCAGACCTATTTGGAGCTGTTGGCAAGGTGTGGAAAATGGACGAGAAATTGTCTGATGCTGCTGGTGCTGTTGGGTATGTGCATGTCTTGTTATAATTAAAAGATCAGACATGTAAACTGGGCACTATTATACCATTAGAGTTTGGAAAGGCATCCTCTTGCATAAGCATCTCTTATATATTTTTTTCAAAAAAGAAATAACTGAATGGATAGAGACTCACATTGACAGAAGTCCGTCAAATTTAGTGGTTTTTTCCTTGGACAATTTTGCAGTGGTGCTGGTACAGCATTTGCGTATATAGCAATAGAAGCTATGGCTGATGGAGGTGTAGTTGCAGGCTTACCACGAGAAATTTGTCTGAGTCTTGCTTCTCAAGCTGTAAGTGGAATCTGTACTGATTATGTTTTTTCGAGATTGTCTATGCTGGGTACTCGATGTATGTTTCTGAAAACAATTCAATATTTCTATAAGTGAAGATAGCTAGAAAGCTCCAGACTTGTACTTTCGGATTCACAGAGCACTTTATGGTGAGGGGTTATACAAGCATATGGATTTTCTCTTGCCTCTGTTTTAGCAGCAATAACCCCTAGAAGCACGTATTTATGGTGAGGGGTTATACAATTCAATATTTCTATAAGTTAAGATTCTTGTTGCTCTATAGACGCGTGAAAAATTAAAAGTTTAAACAAGGGAAACATGCACAAATAGATCCGGTTACAAATTTAATTCAAAAATTGAATTGGGAGCAACATTAAACAAACAATAAGTGGTATATAAACCACATGATCATAGTAGTTGCCATTTTCCACCAAAGTAAAAACCTCAGGCAGGCTCATGATATGCCATGCGCTTTGCCTACGGAAATTATATTGTTTACGACCTGAGGAGATGTCCCAGGATTATGAACTATTGTTGGCCTCTGATGTATAATCTCTCATTTCTGTTTCTCTTGTGTTGTGCCAAAGTTCTATGGAGCAGCAGCCATGGTGATGAAAACAGGAAAACATCCAGGTCAGCTGAAAGACCAAGTTGCTTCACCTGGAGGAATCACCATTGCCGGGATTCATGAACTTGAGAAGGGCGCACTTCGCGCAAGCATGATGGACACGGTTGTTGCTGCTACTAAGCGTAGCCATGAGATGGGTCAATGACTTCGCTTTCCGCATGTTAATTTTGCCAAGGTAGGGTTCCATACGTCGCGTCGTGACAAGTAAAATTGATCTGTATGCTGGGGAATCATTCACATAAAATTTGTACCAGGTTGCTCATTGTATGACTCCTACTTTTCTGCATTGGGTTGAAGTGAAGTGGATTTTTCGTCTCCCAGTTAGGGATGGGAAACGATTATGGCGGGCGGGTAACCGCGGTTATTTATCGATAACCATTTATTCTCATACCCGTATAACCGTTTACCCGTTGGGTAATTGTCTAAACGGTTATACCCATACCCATAACTGTTTATAAACGATTAATCATACTCATAACCGTGTACCCATTTAACTGTAACCGTTTAGTACCCGTTTACCCATTTATTATTTTTAAACCCGTTTCTCCTTTCTTTTTTGTCATTTACTCATTTTTCACCCGTCTACATGTTTTTTTAACAACTTGAAAATTAAAAAAGAAAAATTTGTCATAATTTTGTTTTTCTAACAATTAAACACCGTTATAGGTACATTCATCATACATTTCCGCATTTTAATTTTTAAGTCCATATATCATTCCAATAATTAAAATAATAGTTTACAAACAATATTTTTAACTGTTAGCAATGAAGATAATATAAAATTTGCTAAGTATTCTTGGGTTATGAAAACTGTTAAAAGACAGTATTCTTGGGTTATTTGACTCGGAATGTAAAATATTAACATAATATATATAATGAACCATGAAATTTAAATTGGTTAAGGAAAACTATGTTATATTAGCTATAGAAATCATGCACTATAGTCAATAGCATTGATTTAAGTTTTGTCCGATAGGGAACATGATTTGTGTTAATTTTACATATATAAAATAAATGGGTAAATTGTTACCCGTTTATAACCGCGGTTAATACCCATAACCGCCCATTTAAATTTCGTGGGTAAACGGTTATACCTATAACTGTTTATTTATCTAAACGGTTACCCATAACCGATGGGTATTTGCCCATCCCTACTCCCAGTGCATGAATGTATATTTGAATGCTATGTGAACAAAGTTGATTCTCTCAAAGTATATCTTATAAAAATAATTGTAGATCTTCTGCTTTAATAACGTGTCAAGTTAGAGTAATCACCGCAAAAACAATTGACAACGAGTTCAAATCCTCAAGTTTTAGGATTCATTTGATAACCATGTCGTTCTTGTATGTCTTTTAGATATGAAGTAGACTGAGGAAAAAGAGAGGTGAAGTGGTGATAGGGATGGCAAGAAATAAAGAGGAAAAGAATGAAATTCTTAGAATCCTACGTATCATATAGGGGTGGGCGCAGGTTGGTTTGGATTGGTTTTGGGTCAAAACCGACATAGTCGGTTTGACCAAAATTGCAAACCGAAACCACCGATCAAGTTGGTTAATCGAATGTGGCGGGTTGGTTTGGATTGATTTTCAATTTGTGTGAAGACGAAAATAAATAATAAATTTCTCTTCCAAAAGCTACAGAATATAGCATCAATATGAGTGATTGCTCAAATGAAAGCACAAATGAAGGAGTCCAAGGAGTGCATCAAAGCAGCAGCTACTGAGTTCTCCAAACGGTGCCCCTATTCTTCTCGAAAAGGACTCTTAAACTAATCAGGTTTTGTTTTCATGTAGTGGAAACACGGTAACTCGTAAATAACTAACTATTTATATTACTACAATTATTTATGATTAAAAAAATTTAAATATATGCGGGTCGGTTCGGTTAATCGACCATTTTGTGAACCGATTGCCAAACCAATTAAGGTCGGTGCGGTTCAATTTAACCACCGAAAATTAAAAAACAAAATAAAAAACCAAACCAAACCAAATTGTCGGTACGGTTCGGGAGGTTCAATCGATTTTTTTTTTTCAATGCCCAGCCCTAGTATCAAACATGTCCAAAGTGAAATTTGATTTTTAATTTTTAGTTCTCTTTTTGTGTGTCAGTCTTTGTTCCAGTTATTCTACACCTCTAGTACCATTCTTTCTCTACTCTTCTACTTTCCTAATTTTTCTTATGTATATTTATTCAATTTTAACACAAAATAAAAAAAACTAAAATCGCAACAATTATCAATCACAACCCTTTTTGAGGTGATTAAACCCCATAATAGACTTGTGGAGGATTTTGTATAGAGAAATGCTAGCAAACTTCTCACTTACCTTCATTAGCACGCAAAATTAAAATTATAATTGCTTAAAATTTAAATTTTAGGTAAAATTGAGTGTTAGTGGAATCTACTTGTCATGACGAGAAAGTGAGAATGTAGATCTGAGAAGTAAAAGAGAACCGAGAAGGTTGGGTTTAAGGATTTCTATCGCTTCACTTGCACGTGCAAAACAGAAAGATGAAACGCAAACGCATAAATAAATCCAACGTCAGAACAGAAGACACGTGTTCAAATCATTATCTCCACCACCAGATCCTGACACGTGTCATCAAATCCGATACCAAATCTAATCTCCTTTTGTTCCGCGCCGGAGGATCTTTCCAAATCAAATCTCCCTCCCGCTTCGAGAAAACGTAACAAACTGAACCAGTCCCCGGCAGCGTAGTGAGAAAAATACGACGTCGCATTGCAGCCATGGAGGCGCTACCCATCCCGACGGACACGTACAAACTAGGGTTTATCGGAGCAGGTAAAATGGCTGAGAGCATCGCCAGAGGAATCGTTCGATCGGGGGTTCTCCCTCCCAATCGCATCTCCACCTTCCACCGTGACCCCAGTCGTCGCCAAGCCTTCGAGTCCTTCGGAGTCCATCTCCTCTCTGAAAACGACGACGTCTGAACCCCCTCTTTCTCCCACTTTCCCTGCTTTTGCACATCTCTGTATCTAATTGAATGACTGAAGTTGCATCGTTGCAGGTGGTCGAAGAGAGTGACGTCGTCATTTTCTCTGTCAAACCTCAAGTTGGTATTTCCACTTTCCATTATCTCGGATTTGTTTGAAAATTTTGTTTTAGTTGAAAGATTTGGCTGTTTGTTTTTTTCTTATTTGTTGAATGATTGAAATAATGTGCATTGATTGTAAAGATATATGGGGCATGAATGATTAGGTGGTGATTTTGTGGTTGTTTACTCGATAATGGTATCATTGCGGTTTTGATTTCGTGCTTGCAGTTAAAGATGTAGTTTCGCAGTTGAGGCCGCTTCTTTCCAGAAAGAAGCTGCTTGTTTCAATTGCTGCTGGAGTCAAATTGAAAGATCTGCAGGTCTCTCACTTGCAACTCTTCTTACTTTTATCCACATTGACTGTATGGATTGCCCAAAACCCTGTATTTCATTTTTGGACCTCTTTTTTCCAATTTAATGTGTTGATTTTGATTGTTTTGTATTCGGTTTTCTGAGGAAAATCATGTTCTGAATCTGTTAACTGATTTAATTGTTGTACGCGGTGTAGTCAAAAGTTTATATCAGGGTATTGCTAAGCCTAGTTTTTTAAATAAGCTCTATTCTTAAGTGCCACGTAAGAATAGATTCACATGGCCGTGGGGCACAAACAGGAAGGAATTTAAAAAAAAAAAACAAAAAAAAAAAAATGCAATGCAAGAAGTAGCTAAGAGTTGGAGTGAATGAGTTATAAATGTTTTCAAAGAATAAAGTTAGATGTATAATTTTTCCTTTTTACACATTATCGCAGCCACATTTGGATAGCCGCGCTCCACGGAATTAGCTCCCCTTCTTCTCTACTATTCCTTACTGGCCAACCTTCTGTCACGTCTCTGCCCTTTTGCGACTCTATTGAGTGGCTATGAGGGGGCAGGGTCAGAGTGTGGTTGTGAAGACAGAGAGTAGGAAGTTAAATTTGTAAGAAGGGGAAAAGGGAGGACAAAGAGCTGGGCTGGGCTAATTTAAGTCTTTCATGCATATGTAATCTTTTTGAAGGCCGAGCCAATTCTTAGTTCTTTGTCTGCCCTCTGGATCTTATTAGAAGTTGACAGTGAAAGAGGACATTTTTTTCCCCCAAGTGCATTAAGGCCACCCTTTTCTTTGTCTAAATCCATAGGCGAATAAATATATTGTTCTGTTCAGCATTTGGTTTCCTTGCAGTGTCAAGTGAATGGATTATATGATGCTACTGTTTACCAAATTTTAGTCGTAGCAAAGAAAGCAAGACTGGCTTTTCTATCATGGAGAAATGTGAAGTCCTCAATGTTTGGTTAGCTATACGGAGGCTGAAAGACCGATAAATAGCACAAAACATGCGCACTATAATCTGATGAACTGAAGGAGTAATGTATCATGTGCACATAAAATTTCATCACCTTAGCATCAGTTCTTGAATTTTAAATTCAGGGGACTTGTAGTTCTCCCCTTTGTTTTCCTTTCTATAGGGAAATAGTGCAGTTCGTAATTTTTCAAAGGTATTTAAGATATCATGACTGAAAATATAGGGCAATGGCTATTACTGGTCGGTATCTATAAACAACTGTATAATAATCATTTTCCCAACTTATGAATGTGCCAAGAACCAGAAAGAATATAGAGTCGTGTTTGACAATAATGTTGCTAGCATTTCTCTTTGCACAGAGTGAATCAATTACCCAGACTTACAACAGTTAGCCACTCCCAAGTTTAGCCCCCTTTTCACCCTTCAAATTGTACATAGTAATGAAAATTGAAGTTTCTTAGTAATTTGGGTTACTAGTTTTATGATTTCAGGAACAGAATAATTTGGTTTGGTCCGTATATGTTTAATTAATAATTGGACTGCATGCTTTTAATACTACCAGGGAGGCATGATCCGGGAAATGACTTTTAAGGATCTAATTTATTTGGAATAAATAATTTTATCATGTTATACTTTAGAAATCATAATGTGAAATCCTATAACTACTATATTTTGTCCCCACTATCTCTCCCTCTTGTTTGTTCTCCATTCTCTAAGTGCTTTTATTCTACTCGTATGATTACGTTCTTTTTTCTTTTGTTTTTTCTGTCTTTCATGCATTGAGTTCAATTTTCTACTTTAATAAATAACTTTTGAGCTGTGAATCTTACTTATTGAAAATAAAAAGTTGAGTCCATGGCCTCCAGATTTTTATCTATTTTTCCAACAAAATTGTTCCATCCTTCTCAGGAATGGGCCGGTCACAACCGATTTATTAGGGTAATGCCAAATACTCCTTCAGCTGTCGGTGCAGCAGCCTCAGGTACTTATGTTATCCTTTTAATATTTTAATCTTTCATATTGATGTTAAAAATGTATGCTTTATTGTTTTTCTTTATGAACCTGTAAACTGTGTTGGCTACAGGTTGTATTTGAACTTTAGTTTGCTTTGCATACTTACAATGCTAAGATGCAATTAGATGCTCCATATAGCTATCAGGTTTTCAGTGAAATTTAAGATGCATAGTAGGCATTTTTGTTGTTAATAGGTTGGTAGGATTTTTCTAACGTAATATTTCTTTTTGGCGAGCCTTTTCTAAAGTAATATCTACCAAGCCTTATGTTGTACTTCTCTCGCCCTGCCCTTCGGAACTCTCCCTATGTAAAAACTATCAGCTATTTACGTACTGAAGAGGTATTTTTCTTAGTATTAACTAGGTAATGATATCTGGTCACTGTAGATCATCCTTCTGTTACGTGACTCTGGTGACAAGAGGTAAAATGCGGATTACTTATGTCTAGTTAATGTATTTTAGAATTCTTCAAGTCTCCCTCTGGCTTATGCACATTTTCCTTGGATTGTTTTCATATTATTTGTAATTTGGTGTGCCAATTTTGTAAAATGGATGAAAAATGTCATGCACCACTAATCTTCTGGTGAAATAGTTTTGAGCTTGGGAGGAGGTGCAACAGAACAAGATGGGGACCTCATAGCTAAAGTATTTGGATCAATAGGCAAGACATGGAAAGCTGATGAAAAATACTTTGACGCAGTTACTGGCCTGAGGTATGTGGCTTTGTGTCTACTTGATTCTGATTCATACTTCAATGCAAAATGTTACTCATCTCCTACTGCAATTAGAGACTTTTTTCCCTTTCAAGTACCCTTGCAATTAGAGAGGTTTTTTGGTTCGTCAACCATGAAGTATTGTCCAAATAATAGTAAACTGTAACTTAAGAGGTGCACTCATAAATTGTGGTTTGATTAATGCGCTTTATAAACATACAGTGGCAGTGGTCCTGCATATATATATTTGGCAATAGAGGCTTTGGCAGATGGAGGAGTTGCTGCAGGTTTACCTCGAGAACTTGCGTTGGGTCTAGCATCTCAAACTGTAAGTGTATTTATATTGCTTGGTGGTTTAGCGCTCAAGCTGTCATTTGGCATCATCATACCATCGTGTATGTGTTTCTATTTCTCACAAACTTTAACAGTGTAGGTCTTGATCTCCTAGAAAGGGACATTTGGCATAAAAAATATGAGAGTATCTAATCATGTTACTTCTCAAAGTAAAGCCTTTACCAACAAAGGTGTACAAAAAAATTTAGATATTGTATAACTCCTACTGCCTTTGGACCTTGATGTTGGTGGCTTGCACATCACGAGTACATTTTGAAAAAATCGCTCTCTGTGCAAGGTTTAGAGTTTATAATACATTTTCTTGGCGTTTTGCATTCCAAAATATTTTGTCAATTTGTTTCTCATCAGTTCGGTGTTGTGGGGAGGTCTGATTCTTTGTTTCTTTTTTGCAGGTATTAGGAGCAGCATCTATGGCTTGTCATACTGGGAAGCATCCAGGTCAGCTAAAAGATGATGTAGCATCACCTGGTGGAACTACCATTGCCGGCGTTCATGAGTTGGAGAAGGGTGGATTTCGTGGAATATTGATGAATGCAGTCCTTGCTGCTGCCAGCCGCAGCCGAGAATTTTCTCGGAGCTAGACACAGATAGTGACTTTCTTATTTCAACGCATATTCGTGTCATTGCAATGAAATCCAATTTTTGTTCTCCTCCGTAGCTCAGGGGATAAACAAATCGTTTCCGCAGAATATTATTACAGATTATAGTACTGTCCCTCGCTGCATTCTGCTGAATTGAACGTTGCTTGAAATACTGCTTCAAGCTTGGAATACAGGTAAAATAAGATAAGTAGTAACAAAATCCTCTCCTTGATTTTATGTTCATTTCCGTAGCGCCACGCATGTGATTTCAAGCTTATGTCACTGATTAGAGTTGAGATTTTTCCTGGCCATCATGTTATCTCATGGTCGGCCGACTCTAGGTTGTAGTTCTCAAACCAAACCTAGGGCAGGCCATGAGATTTCAGAGGCCAACGAAAATGATTTTTTTTTTTTTTTTTTTAAACCATAATATAGCAGAAAGCGTGAAAATTCAAACCGGGTTGAAAATATAGTTGTCCCAAATGTAGGCCTACCTGAACCCGATGGTTGGTTGTGTGCTACTAAACACAAATAAAAGACAATCAAAAGACATTAATTAACAGAAGGTGTGTGGAAGATAAAAATGGGTGTGTGGATAATGCCACTCACAAAATATTCGAATCAAGTTAGTGTAGTGTTCTTACGTCGTTGAGTAAAATGACATTGGCAGGTTACCAGGTGTGCTAGATCCCACATCACTTGTATGATTACATGTGAAGTGTCTTTATATGTGCAACCCCACATTTCCATGTAAGTTGTGTTTCTCAGCCCAAGAACAAATTCGTCTGGGCGTTGCTTATTAGTATCATAGTTGAACAAATCCGTGTTAGGACACTGCTGAGGTACTCGGTCTAGGTGAGATAGATCCTACATTTCTTGGACTCACATCAGTGTGTTTATTACCGAATTCAGATCCTCTCTAAATCTCTGTGTTTTGAGCTGGCAGACTTAGAAATTCAGACCACTCATTTTAAATCTTACGAACTCAATATCCCATCCCACTGGCGCACCTCCACACAGACTAAAGGGTCTAGATCTCTCTCTCTTTCTTGAATGGCCTGGATCTCTGAATATGTGGTTTTTGGACTTCGAGATTCGGAGAGGATTTCAATTCATAAGTACCACCGTAGGATTGGATTAAAAAAAAACTCCTTGTGGATGAAGCCCAAAGCAAGTAATATCTTATTATGTGAGACAATTTATGGTGTACAATTACAGCCAAAGGTGAAAACTCGATTTTAGATTTCGACAATTTTACTACAGATTAAAAGTAAACTATTGACCAAATCGGCCTCTCATGTTTGGTTATTTTGTCTCTATTTTAGCAAAGGTTAACCAATCGGGTGACGTGGAGCACGTGTGGTCGTTGGGTTTCACACACAAGACAACCTATTCTGGTACCATGAATGAAGGAAAAATTGGCTAAACTAAGATTATTTAAGTGTATATGCACTAAAAAATAAACCTTGACCATTAAATTCAAAACCTAGTAGCATGGTAAACCGTGACTCAACTCAAATTTACAAGAGAGAATTGAGAACCATTATACCTTTGTAGATCTCTTTGCATTTGCACACGTTGTTCACCCAAGAGAGAGTCTTCATTCCTTTGCTCTCCTTCGCTTCTTCGGATCCTTGACTTCTTGAAATTGGTTGGTGGAATAGGAACCTCCAAGTTTCCATGACCACTATGGGAACTAGTCCAAGCGAACAAAAATGCTTCATATAAAAGAATTTCTCCAAATAAACCTTTATTTATTCGTTCCATCTTAATCATAGATGTGTGACCTCTTAGGTTCTAACTAAAGCAGCAAGTAAAATTAATTAATAAATTAATTTAATCCCACAATTCATAAATGATACATAGCAGTATGTCATGGTTACTTGGATTAGATAAAGGTATTCATAAAATAATCATAATATTTGAACTTTGATTGTAATTACAATGTAATTCGGTTCTTCTATCACTCATATCTCGATCAAGATATATGTGATATAAAATTATGTCAAATCATAAGTAGATATATGTGATAACCATGATGCATCTCATGTTGAAGCAGGTCTTACAAACATAGCTTGATCAACAATACTCTGCCATAAATTTTCGAAATGGATCTTCAAGCGGCTTCGAGAGAGATCTCCTTTATATCTCCGTACACATACACATGAACCCGTGCCATGCACTGTCAAGCCCTGTGAGGTAGTGAGGGCTTTGTGATGAAATTGAAAGTTCATAATTATAAGCACAAGATATCCAATCATCATTCAGGTCTAAGAACTATTTGCATACTACAATCTAAAGATTTGTAACATTTGACATATGGTAAGCATCCATTCGTTTAAGCTTCTTTGGTGATAAGTGTTCAGTGGATTAGTTCAACAAACAAGCACGTGTATATCCACCACGTGTCCAACCCGCGTAGCACAAGACCATGTTAACCTTAATGCGATATGCACCAACCTTTCCAGATAGTTTAGTTGACTTTCCAAACGGCGAGGAATTTTTGTTTATGGACTCAGTAGGAATTTTGTTTATGGACTATAACTATGGAATATAAGTCTCTCTACCCTAACCTCATTTAGGACATTGCTCCCATAACTTTAATCCTATGGACTCATCCATAGTATATTATCTCTATAATATCACTACAAAAAGATAAGGTTTATATGACGACATATATTCGTCACGAAAAGGGAAAATGTGTCACATCCAATGTAACTGCTAGTGTCACTTATAAGGCGTCACCGAAAGTCCATGTTATGAATTTTATGCTCGTCACATATTTTATGTATGATGCCATCTACACCACCCATTAAATGATTAGGATACTGGATTCGAGGAGATATGTGACGAAATAAGTGTAACAAAACATAAAATTTAGTGACCTATAAATTTGTCAAATATGTCAAAATCAAATAGCTATTGGTTTTCAATATGTGATGAACAAACTACCACATATTCCTTGTTTTTTAGTTTGGAATTAGAATTTATAACAAATGTAAGGTAATACTGACACACCCCGTCTCGAAGGAGGGCATGCTGGCCGTCACGTGAGAGTGACGTAACCATTTACACAGTTCGGAAGCTTTAAAGATACAATTACTAAGATGTAACACCCGAGGGTGAGTCCTACTTTTGTGAATTCTGTCAAAACACCGTTGGATTCCTCGTGGCCACCAAAGCTCTGCTATCTTGAACCTGGAGGGGCGCAAAACAAAGTTGAGTGGGTCAGTAAAACAAAGTTTTTCGAAAATCATCTCATTATCAAAACGATAACTCCTCGCTGTAAAACCCGTATACTTTCCCAGAAATATGTAATACGTATACTTGTCTCAAAACCATACTCAGAAGTAGTGATATGTGAATTATATGCCATGCCAAAATATATATCTCATCAAATCATATAAGTAACTCATGCAAAATAATATGTCAACCAGATCCACCTATAGTGGCCTGTACGGCTGAATCTATAGCTCATAATCAATCTCATCAATCTTATCTAGCCGGAGTCATCGCAAGTGACATGTACGGCAGTACACTGCACACGAGTCGGAACCCCTGAAAAGGTCTGTGCGACTGAACTGAGTGAAATATAGTTATGCTCATGCTATCCTCTCCTAATAGCTATGCGATAAATCGCTAGTTACCTACGAGTCGGAACCACCTCTAGTGGTCTGTACGACAAGACTGGGCACCTAAATTGGATCCAATTGTGAGCATATGGTGTGGGGGTGATATATATTATATATATATATATATATATACAGGCCTAAATCATCTCTACTAAATCACAATCACCCTAGTGCAGGTTTATGAGCTTTCAATCATATCAACTCAACAATTACATAATTTAATTTATGAACTTACCTGGCACTTACCTGTGCATCTGCAGCACCAATCATGCATGTATGCAATTACTAATGCATAAATAATTAGGCATATATTTTGCATGGCATTTCATATCGCATTTCATATCACATGTCACTTAAATTGATTTCCTGGGAAAAAATCTCATTTATATAGGTATATACGGAAAACAAAACTGCCCACTCACCTGGAGTTCGCCCTACAACTCCCTAGCACAACACATCAAAGCATCATGACGATCGGCGCCTAGAACAATCATCAAATCAAACCTCAGAAATCATATCGATAGAATATATAACTTATATAAAACACGTCACTACGTAGTTCGATCCGGAAGATCTGCAACTAAAAATTCCAATCCATAACTTCCAGAGGTCCACAATATATCTCTAGAACAACATCCTAAAATTTCCTTATCATCCAACGGTCGGATCTCCGTCAATTGTCAAAACCAAGTGACGGTTAACATTCTATTTTATGAACTTACAACTCCGATTCCGGAAGATCAGTAAATCGGATTCCCAATCCATAAGTTCCTATAATCCTCAAATATTACGTATTACAACGTATCAAAGTTTGGTGGCGATCCAACGGTCGGATCGTCAATTCACATTTTCACCTAACCACGAATCGTAACGAACTTAGGTTCAATTACTCAATTTACGTCAATCAATTATCAAAACTGAACCTAGAACATTAAACACATGCTAAGAATGACATTGGCGGGCCACTGGCCAGGCGCCGCCGCGGGTGGCGGTCGGCCGCCCCGACTCGCCGAAAAATCCAACTATCTCCAAAAATTATCAAAATTTACAGAAATGAAGATCTCAATTATTAGAGTAAACATTATACCTGAGGCCAAGGCCAATTTGGCCTGGAAAAGCTCATTTTGCCAAAACCGTACGAAACCCTATATGTGGTGTTCTTCAATTCGTCCTCAATTCAACTCCGCCGCTCCAACCAACAATTGGGCATTTTTCTAGGCCTCAAGGGAAGTGTATGTGTAGTGTCAATTGGAAGAAATTATTTCAGAATTTGGAGAATCAACACAAGACCCGCTGGAGTCACCATCGCCAAATGTCACGGATTTGACCCAATTTCCATCAAATCTTAAGAGAAAAATGAAGGAGAAGAGATGTGGTGATGCTTGCAAGTGGAGATGGGATGAAAATCACCTGAAAAACGGCTCAGAACCGCCAGAATTTCACTAGGTCGACGGGTTGGGTGCGCGCGGGTCGACAAGATCCGGCCGATCCTCTCCTTTTCCTTCATCCTCCTTTCCCTCATTTCCTTCTTCTGGTTGGCCAATCAGCTTCCTCTCTCCTCTCCCCATTTGGCCTTTCCTTCTTCTTT